CGACGGCCGGCAAGTGGGCTGGTGCTCATGCCGAATGCAAATCAACATATATATATATATAGGGAAGTTCCCCCTGACCTCCGGCTGCTCGGGAGGGAGCCTGAAGACGATGTCTGGGCAGGACAACCTGGACATTGCCGACACTGGTCGGGGTCCGATCTTGTCGCTGGCCCGAAGATCTGATGAACGTCTGTGAAACCGGTTTCCCTGCGACACACAGATTGCATACAATACACAATACACATCAATACACATGGGTGCTGGAGCCGGAGTGGTCAATCGTGCAAGGAAGCTGGGGTGACGAGATGCCACCGGCTGTTGGCGAGCCAATGTCAAGCATTTGATCTGGTGGCGACTGGTGGTTTGACAGCCAAAAGCACTCTTCAGGATGACGAAACCGACGGAGCTAACAGGGTATGATGTGTGGAATTTGATGGCATGGGTGTCGGAAACTGGTTTTGTGGAACACCACTTCATCTTCCATGTCTGTCATATTAAGCACGTTGTAGTGTGTATATATATATATATATGTATGTTCTATTTCAATCTTCTAGACTTCTAGAGCGGCAGCAGCTGAGCGAGGCAGCTACTGGCCGTGGACCAAAGCCAGTTCATGCAAAATTTCTTGCCACTTGGCAACATACGGACCAAGAAGAGGGTGGATACAGCTGGGTCAAAGCACCACGTATTCTTGGTCAGAAAGGCGCTGAGACCATGGATTTTCATCTCTCAGTCCCACTTGGCCCAAATTTCAGGAACGCGCACCAAAGGACTTCTACCTAGTGACAGCAAAGGAGATACATGGTGGGACACCCTCGTGCGGGGATATCCGTTTTTGACATGCTGCTGGCTGCCAAGATAAGCTAAGCGCAAACCCTGAATGGTTTCTCAGGAATTCTACTAGGAATTCTGAAAAACACTGACATCTGGAAGACGATTCCTCTACAAACCCAAGTAGAGATTTTGCTGCTTCCCAGTGTTTTCCGAGACCAATCTGACGCCCCCTTCTCTGCGAGACCCTTCTGCGCCGCGACCCGCGTAGCATCGCGTAGCGGACCCGCGACTGCGCTGCCCGGTCCGGTCACCCGGTGGCTTGAGGACCGTGAATGGCCTGCTCTTCACGATCCTTTGTGGTACCTTGGGCTGGAGAGACGCTTTTGGGCCTTTTTCGCACGGTCCGAATGGACGCGTTGGATGCGTTGCATGCGTGAAAAGGGAACGGGGCTACGGGAGGCGGTGCTTTTCACGCGGGCACGCGTGAAAGGGTGTTTCGGTGGTGCATTTCGTGTTTTCCCTCAGATGTTTTTCTTTGCGACCTGTGCAGCTGGAAGCTTTCCATTGAGGGATTCTTTCCACGCACCCAAACAACCTGGTCCAGGTGTAGCTAGCGATTAGGGAGGTTTTTCCTTGCTCGCGATTTGGGCGAACTGGGGTTGTTCTCCGCCAGAAGCGAGGTAATACCTACACCTCCTTGTACACCCAGCAAGAGGTGCTTTTCCAGGCCTTGTTCATAGAGGCTGGGGCGGGTACCGATGGAGGTACCTGAGGAGTCGTCTTGCAGACTCTGACGATGGACCATTGACGACATGGACCATCCACAACCGCCTGAGCCCGAAAAACACAAAAATGGCTGCGAACCCCCTGCGGCTCTGCATAGCTCTGCGAACTTCGTGTCGCATTTCCACTGTCCATGCTACTTGGGAGGGACTGCTCTAGGTCGTTTGGCATCTTGGTCAATGAAAGAAGCAGATCTAAAATCAACTGGAAAGTTGTCGCACGGGCAGGGCCTCCACCATTAAAGTTTCCAATGAGATTGGTTCTCTTCATATACATAGCTTCAGAACGCAGGCAACGTGGCCGACGTGAGATTTGCCGGCGAATCCTGCGGCTGACCTTGAAGTGGTCACGCGTATACGCGTATACCCGACCCAATCCTTCCTCGGATTTCCGCAAAGCTTTGATCGCCCGCTCACCTCACAGTCTCCTGATGCATGACCCAACGGGAATGAACCGACGTTTGACGAAACCGACACGTGTGACACGACAGGTCTCTGAAGCGAAGAGCTTGCTTGAGCAAGCTTGCCTGGTTTGTCAGGGGAGGCTGGGGGAGGAGAGGGTGGCTTTTTGACTTTGAAGTGAAGCGAGTGCCCATCTCCTCATTCCTTGAAATAGTGAGTAACGACGACCCTTTTTTTGCTCTGGAAGATGGTTCCTGTCCCAGCAAATGGGTAGAGCATGGTAGAGCGATAGCCCCCTGTGGCTCGATGTTGAGGTCTTAACTACATATACCATCTTTAAAGACACTCTCAAATAGGTTTGTCTCCAAGTGAGTAGCTTTTTGTTTTTATCTACTCTCTTGGCAGGCTAGTGTTGGTGAGACATTCGATCTGAACTAGTTGAATCTTTCTCCGATTAAATGGATGTTGTTAGGAATGAATGTGCTGTAGAGGTACAAGAATGATAGTGATAGTGTCCCTTAATTTTATGCAATTCTGTATACCTGAGATCAACTGCTTCAATTTAAGTCATTCATGAGTAAATTGCATTTCTTCCCCTCCACATGTGGTATCATGTGGTATTCATTTATCCATTATCCCATTCTTGCTAAGACCCGATTAGCCACACGGATGACCTTCCATTGGACTCTGATGGTTTGCATCAATGAAACTGGAACACGTGGTCGAACAAAGGGAACATGGACGAACTTGTAGATTTTCCCTGTCGAACTTGAAGAACGTTATTTTCAAAAGGCAGTTCCTGGACCGGACTGCTCCTGGCATCCCTCGAGAGGCCGTTCTATCCAAAGGTGTTAGATGCTGGGACGCACAAGTTGGCGAGGTCGGACCACCGGCCGAGAGAGTTGGTCGAAAGGCAGTCCCGGCAAGAGACCTCACTGTGCAAGTTCTCAGTCTTCAAAGGGCGAAGAATCTCTGACTCTTTGGTTTCACTGGAATCTTCACTGCAAACAGGACGCCCCAGCGTTGTTTTCGTTGGTAAGGGAACGAGTGAAAACCTTTACACTCTCTGTTTGTTAACTAGCAGGGCTGTGACAGGCGCTTTTTTACTCCGACTTCCAAGCAGCTGAGGACAGCATCAGAGAATCCGGGCTGCAGGAAGAAACACTGCTGAACCTTCTAACCCAGGATTTGACCCAATCCAAGCTAACCACAAACCTTGCACAGAGAAGCTCCAGACTCCTTGATGTACTACTTCTCCAAAAGCAAATCCAAATCCCGAAACATCCTGAGTCTACAATGCTTGTCTTGGAACATAGTTGCGGGTCGAACTCCTAACGCCCTGCGACAAATGTACTGATCCCATTCAATTGCATCCGAGAATCAGATTTGCCCAACAATTCTTCCTCAGATTGCCGAGCCTGACGTCCATCTGTTCCTCATGTTGAGCTTGGGGTTCTTATGGTCAAAGGCATCTCTCCAGTCACGCTGGCGTCGGCACCAGCTCCCGTGAAGGCGCCACTCAGCCAAGCCCTGCACCCTTTTTGAAGCCGAGTTCCGGGCCACCGGCATGCAGACTGGAAGACGATGTTCCTCCTTAAAAAAAAAGCGCAGCCCAGTGGCTTTCCAGGTTCCATCCATGGGTCCTTGGTCACCCCGTGCTTGGTCGACGACCCTCCCGAACCCCAGCGGCTTTCCACGCCCCGCTGTCCCGCGCTGTCCCGATGCTCCTCCGTCCGAGGACTACGTCTCCACGGACCTCAGGCGGTTGGACGTCGAGCCGGCGGAGCTGCTGGCGAATCGGCCCATGGACGATCCCCTGGAGTGGCCCGGCACCGCACGGCCCGGCACCGGCACCAGCGGAGCGGCGATGGTGTCGCGGAGATGGACCAAGAGGGCACAGGAGGTGAATGGGTTTCTTCAGGAATCGAAGGTGTGCGGGTCTACCTCGAAACCATGAAACCACCAGTGTTTTCTGCCTGGGGTGCCTGGTGGAATGTGAAGTGGTCCATTTATGTCCATTTCAGTATGATTCGGGGAACAGCAGTGGCCTCACCCCTGCCACGACCGGTGGACTTTTCTTTGGCGCATTGCCCGAGAAAAATTCGAGCCCTGGCACTTGGTCGCCAGGTATATCCTTTATGCACCTTGACTGAGATGAAGCGGCGCTCAAGTCACCGGGTGTGTGGGTCATGTTTGAGTGCAGACTTCCGATCCTTCCGGATTTTTTGATCAATCCCGGTGTATCCGGTGTATCCTATTGATTCACTGCAATAACCAACGGGAAAGTTGCTTCTCACTTATCACTCTCACTGTTGTTGGCCAAGTAGGAACTATCATCATCCTCTGCTACAGCAATTGCGATGCACAAATCCTATGTCGATTCCAGATGATTCCAGAGCGTTTGGCCACCTTGGGGGTTCCCCCCCCCGCCCCCCGAGACTTGGAGTCTTGGATTTTGCCGCTCTTCGATCGGCCCTCGGCCCAGCTCGGCCCAGCTCTGCGCGTCTCGTTACCCGGCCGTCCCCGTCCTTCCGCGGTCCGAACTCGGCGAGGCCACTTCGGTGGGAGTGCCTTGGCACATCGGACGAATCGGACCGAAAGGTAGAACACGAATCAGATGAAAAGAGGACGACGTCTAGTGGGTGGAACCGGTTTGACCTTTCTTTTGATATGAAAAGACAATGTTTGGGCTCCAAAACAGGGGTCAATTAGGTTCTAGGTATATAGTGGGTGGAACCTCCACTCTTTTGCTGCAATTGGGACGTCCTGGAAGATTTCCTTTTTCCCCAAACAGCTTTGCTATCAGGGGTTCTCAATTCTTGCATAGAAACAATCCTGGGCCAAGATGATTTCTGGCCTTTTGTCTCCTGTTGTCTCCCATGGCTCTTCTGGATGCTGGGCTGGGATGATTTTTGTCGCCCTTAGCCCTGAGCCTTGTTTGTTTCTCATGGCTCCTCTGGATGCTGGGCTGAGATGATTCTGCTTGGTTTGCTTGATCCCTTAGGACCTTAAACTTTTTTGCTCACTCTGGCCAATTTTGTTTGCAACATGGCACATGCTCTGAGACAATTTTGCTTGATTGATCATGTGGCCCGGGCTCATGGCAGGATGTATTTTTTGCAGGTTGTATTAAAGCTCAAACAGTAAAGGGTCCGGGTAGCAGCTTTGAAAAAATGTTCTGCTTCATGCTCCGTTTTTCCTTCATTGCCGGTCAATAAGGGAGCTCCAGAGGCCCAATGACAGTAGAGGGGTTGGCACACATGCGAACCAAGAACCATTGCAACAAGGTAGGTTGAAGAGTCGTGCAGTTCGAACTGAAAACCGTGTTGCTGCAACTGCTAGGGGAACAGGTTTCAAAAGGCTGTCCTGTTTTTCATGATCTATTTGGACTGCCCATGACCAGCTGTGTGAGCCTAGATAGATTCAACTTGCTCGTCTCATGGCCCTTCAGAGTCGCCATCGGGTACAGTGGATAGTGGAGTGGACAGGTGGCAAAGAATCTTTCGGCCAGGCTTTGCAGAAGATCGTGCACGCCTTGCAGTCCAAACAGCGGGCAGTTGAGTCAGTGAAAGCTCATGGTCACCGCAACATTGTCCTCACATAAAGGCAGTCAGTTGGCTATGAAGGAGCATGCGGATGGGTGAGAGACATTGTTGGAGATTCGAGCTTGTGGCAGCTTTCAGATGGCCTCGTCAATGACAATGACAAGGCTGACCCAGACCAGATCCACGAGGAGAAGGCAAGGCACTTGGTGCACAAAGCATTGGCGCTTTGCAGGGGCAAGAGGAGGCTGCACTCCGACGTAGGATTCCTTCGGATGGGTGGTGGTGGCACGACTTCGCGAAGGGCCTTCGGCTGAACCTGTTGCTGTGAAGATGTTCAAGAAGAAGAAGCCGGACTTCGACCAGCTCCAGAAAATCCATGTTTTGTCAGCAATAAAGTCGGAGAACGTCAGTCCGTTGGTCGACATGAGCTTTTGCTGTGGAGCCTGTGGAGAGGGGATCGGCCTCGTGTTTTTCGGTGGCGAACGTTTACGACGCCATGCACACTCCCACAAGTGTGCGCACCTATAGGTTTTGATGGAAAAGCCAGGCAACCTCAGCTTCAGACGCACGTATGCGCATGCATGCCCGCACATGCGCGCCCGCGCGCCCGCTCGCCCGCAAGCCCGCCCGCCCGCCCGCACGCACGGCTTCTTCCAATATCAGGGCTTCGTAGTGGAAAGGTTAGAGAACGGCTTCTGGAAGAGGTGAGGGGCTAGAGACACGGCTGCTGGGGAGTCGGAGGCTGGAGAACGACCTAAGAGGGTTTTACTCGATTGAATAAGCACACAAGGCCTTCAGTTTGGTGGCATCCTGATTAGGGTGATGTTCAGCAAGGGGAGCGAAAGCCGATATCAACTGACGCACTCCTTTCGTTGCAAGGACGCACTTTTTTTTAAATAATTTTTATTGTTAAGTTATAGACCCCCTTGTCTTATCTAGCTATTTTACATCATAACAAGTGAAGTTCAACAGGCCTTGTACTTCAGCTGCCTGAGCCGACGTTGTGCGGCCAGCTTCCGAGATTCCTTGGAGAATATCGCAAATTTTTTCCAACCTGCCGGCTTTGTTTGCAACCTCGAAACTACCTAAGCGAGTGTCTTGAAGAGAGTGTGTAACCCCCAGGGCGTCAAATGCTTCCGCAAAGCCCAGGCCTTTGTCACCTTCCTTTGCGTAGACCCAACCTAGGATGTCAAGCGCGGCTCCGAAAGCGGACGACAACACTTTTGCACCCTCGGTTTTCTCAGTCCTCGAAGTAGTTGCAAGTTATAGCTTTAAGCAATTTGGCCACTACGAACCAGAGAGCTTGGGCTACTCTTACAAAACCATAGACCGACCCCGTAGCTCCGAAGGCAAGGCAACTGATTTATAGAAGCGGCATTTCCCACCTACCGGAAGGCCACCACTGCCAAATGGGAGTGTTGGGGCAGGATGGCCAGTTGCTTATAGGCTTTACTTAGATCTAAAGTGCGCCCTAGCCAGGCGGCCAAGTGCCCAGTGCGGCTTTGCTCATTCAAGGTGGTTCTAATCATTGCTGCAATGTATTCGTTATCTTGAAGCTGCAATTTAAAGGTGGACGAATACGCAGCGTTCAAGGCACTAGCTTTGGCATCATCTATCACCCTAACCTTCCTGCTGGGGCCTTGATACAATACGAACCGCGGAGTGGTGAGCCACTTCTGGTGACTATAATTTGCATCCATCTGTGCCTCGGTGAATGGACCAACCAAGAAGCCCTGATCTACCTCGGATGCCGTCGATTCAATCAAGTCTGCTTCTTCTTCGGAACTTGGCTTCTGACGAGATCCCATGATGCTCTTCCTCCTCCAGATTGCGGACTCTTCCAATTCTTCCTAGGTCATTGAATGGCACAGAGAGAGTAGCGTGGAGGACGTATTTTTGGTGGCTTTTTGTGTGGGATTAGATGGTGGAAAGCTTTAGCGAAGGGCAATGTCGGAGAGTCGGAGGCTAGAGAACCGCTTATGGAAGAGGATTTTTACTGCCGTCAGAAAGCAACTTTTGGCACCGAGAGAGCAGCTCCGAGGACGATTTTTTTTGTTGTTTTTGGTGGAATTAGATGGTGGAAAGGTGTGGCAAAGCCAATTGCCGGGAGCTCCCGTACAGGGCGCGGCTATGGAGATCGCATGGCCGGCTGAGATGATTCAGCATTGTCTCGCATGGCTCGTTTTTGATGATGGGCTGAGATGATTCTGCTTTGTTGCCACTTGTCTCTTGTAGCTCTGCTTGGACGCTGGGCTGCTTACAGCCCTTACTCTTCAGCCACCACACTGTACTCAGCAAAATGGGATATGAAAAGGAGAAAACAATATATTTGGGTCGCATCGCGACAACAACCACCCACACCATTGGCTCTTGAGTGTCCAAACATGGTTTTTGTGCGCCCTTTGAAATTTGCACTATGAAATGGGGGATCCCGGGATCCTTATAAATCAATTGTTTGTAAGAAAAGCTTGTTTTACTAAAAAATGGGGGGTCACTCTATAGAGAAACAATGTTACTAGCATAACTTTGCTTACGCTGGTTTTCATTTTGTAGAGACTTCAGATTATGCATATAAACCAAGATAATGGTATGGTTGATTTCCACTTTATAGACGCTTTTGGTCCAAGCACCTCATGTTATAGACATGTTTTGTGTGATCGATGCCTCATTTTCTAGAGCACAGACCGCGGACTCTGGATTTTATAGACGTGTGGTTGCAATTGCTTGCGTGATGATGCCCCTACGGATGATGGACCTCATTTTATAGACATGTTTTGTGTGATCGATGCCTCATTTTTGTAGAGCACAGATTGTGGACGTTGGATTCTATAGACATGTTGTTGCGAGTGCTTGCAAGAATGAATGATGCCCCTATGGATGCTGGACCTCATTTTACAGACAATTTTTGTGTGATCGATGATTGATGCTTTTCTAAACCACAAACCTTTTCTTGATTGGTTAAGTTATTGTTTTCACGTGGTTATATTATTTTTACATCTATCTTTGTTATTTTGTATTTTTTGGTATGCATTTTTGTTGTCATTGATTCTTGTAACATATCATATGGAACCTGATTCTCATTTTGTAGAGATTCTTTAAAGTATTTTTTTATGCCCATTGAGCTTGATGCTGTGATGGCTGATTCTCATTTTGTAGAGATTGCGTGTTGTTTTGGTCTCCAGACCATTCATTTGCAGTCAATCTGTAGACATTCTGTAGAAACCATTTTCTACAAAATGCCTATTCCAGCATCACCCCGTTAACTTACACCCTGCGGGTTGTTCCGCCGGCCTTTTCAGCCAATGGTCCCAAGATGCGGATTACCTTTTGCGTCAAGAGGAAAGACTGCAACAGAGCAGAAAAAGTAACAGCATCATCCAGAACACAGCTGGAACAACAGAGGGGCCTACATGAAATGACGCGCATTATGATACAATAAGAGAACAGGGAGATGAAATTGGGGGATGCAAAGTATAGCCTGCCAAGCAAGAAGACAAATTATATGACATGTGACATAATGAGCGAAGTAGACTGTGCGAAGCAGCAAACGTACATAGCATTCCGTCAGACATGATACAAGAGAGTAATGAGGACATGTGTGGCATGGGGATTTCCAAGCAGTCTGAGTCTGCAAAAAACGATAGATACGTGAGTGCAGGTGCAAAACCTGAGAAAAACGCATGCAAAGCAGAAGCGCAATGCATGGACAACGACAAGAAAAGAACGACGATACGAAGGAAGCGCACACAACCTTTCACTTTAGCTATGATATGCGAGCTACATACATTCGGGGGAGGGGGGGGCTGGCAAATTGCAAGTAAGACATGACAAATCGACTTGTAAGCGGGTCCAAAAACAGAGTGATTATAACGGTTCTTCTATTTCATTCGCCCACTTCATGATGCCTTCATCTCTAAGTCCTGTCTCGATCATGCACATTGTGCAGTTTATTGTGCACAACAACCACTCTATTTTCCGAACCAATTGAAATTGTACATTTTTCAGGGCTCCAAATTTAATATCCACTTGCAGGCATTGTTAGATAGAAGTTGGTCTCCTTGAAACATGTACAAACTCCACGGGACTGAAACATGGAGTGATTATGTAC